CTCGTCTCCAGGTTTCCTACAGCCCGGAGTGGCTCCAGCGAATAAGGCACGATGCGGTAGTCGGTAGCTGGGTATACACAATACGTGTCCTAGCCAGGGAAGTCTACTAAACTGAAATCGGTGTGCTAGTAGGTTTATCTCTGATAGACTCCCAAACACCCGACAAGGGGAAGGATTGAGCGGGGTTGGTTACATGTGCATTAGAATACAACAAAGCGGATGGATCAAACGGTGGAACTCACGTTGTGGATGACGTCTGTCGAAAGAATTGCTCTTTATGTACATTACTATTTGTCACTTTACCACTAAGCGTACCACAGTTGTAGTACACATGGCTACTTGTTAATCCTTAATCGCGTTCTGAATGACGTAATCGTGATAAATGTAGTTAGTGTCAGTTACTTTCGGTCTTCTAGTGTTAAATTTTATGAAACGCATCCTTTCACTTGGACAGTTTCTTTCTAATCAACGATTGGCAGCTCATATGGTGCTCATCAATCTCACTCCGTGTACAATGTCCTTGCCTGTTATGTGAGTTTTGTATTAGACAATCATGTTCAACTTTGTTTTTGTAGTTGGCATTTGACGGGTGAACTCATTCTTCAAGATAATCAATACATGTATTGAGGCAGTTATTTCATTCAGGACTTTGTATGTGCCCTCCCGCCCCCCACCCACAGAAACGAACCCTAGAAACAGCTCTCATACCGTTCAGAGCCCAGACCTAAACTGTACTATGTGCTGTCCTTGAAAAAAAACAACCCCAGTCGTACTTTACTCACCACTCATTTATTGATCTTAGCTTGTCGGTGTCGCCATCATCACCAGCAGCATCAGGTTGCACTATATTCCCCTGACGAACCTGGTCTCTGAGTACATGTGCCTTGCCTAGTGTGTCTGTGTTTGTGTCTGTGTGTATGTGTACAAAGGTTGTGTGAGAATGCGTGGTCCTTGTGTGTGGGTGTGTGCACTCGTGGACTCAGGTGAACGGTTTGCAATTTTCTATCCATAACGAGAAAAACAACATTGTCGTATTGTGTGCACTTCTCGTTGCCTAATAGTTATCGGCATATTCCAACCACGAACAAATCGGTAACGAGCGAGAGTCTCTCGCCCACTCTATTATATTAAGAGGGTATCGTATTTGTTGTGGATTGCACAAAAATAAACTGTCCATATGGCCTTATCTCCTTCATCTTGGGTGTGGGTTTCACTGCTGTCCAGTGTTCTTTGTCGGTTAGCACAGACAACGATTCTATCACATTTAAATATATTCAACAATAGTGAGGAATTTACGATCTCACAAGGAGTGAAACCCGCCCACACACCAAAGACCCCCAAGAGTGCTTGATGCCTCTGAACAATCGAATGGGCTAAGCCAAGCTTGATACTCTAAATAATACCTTATTGTTTATAAACACACACACAACAGAAGTCTGATGGTTTTTAAGTTTAATTTTCAGAGCCCATAAACATTATAACCCGATGGATCCTCGTTACTATGGGGTTCAGATTTTCAACTGTGCGTTAGACTAGGACATGCGATCAAAATGTTTAGACAGACGGTGTGTAAAGTTCTTCCGAGTGTATTTTTTCTAACTGTTGTCAAATTTGTTTGGGTATTTGTATAACTTGTGTATGAGTTTACTATGCTTACAGTTCAATTAAAAATGTACACTGATCATCACATTGAATAAAGTATACAATTTCATATAAGATGAAATGTGAAGAATTTCGCTGAAGTTTGTTTTATGTACACAAATTCTGATGTAGTTCACTTGCATTCTGTTCCTTTTTAGTTAGAAGTCGGGCCAATTATGTTAATATCAGAGGTTAGAGGCCGAAAAGAGGAGTGTGTGTGGACGGATGAGAACGACAAGATGATAGATCAGGGTGCAGTGGATGAAGAGGGTCATCTAGAATCTTATGAGCAAATTTAACACAACGGTTGGCGTGTGACCGTCGATGAGTTCTGTGATTAATGACTCAATCGAGATTAATGATGCACAATTGACGATCATCAAACCACGGCGAATTGTTCTGAAATCCTGTTTTACAAGGTCGGGAAACACTACGGGGGAGCAATAGAGTAGAATGGGTAAAATCCATTGATGAACGGTAGAGCACAGGACTGACTGTGGGGTTCGAAATTGCTTGAATTTGCGTAACTGAAAGGACAGGAGTCTCAGTTTTCCCCCACAATTTTAAATGTTTGTGGACCACCCAAAGATTACTCGCTGGTTATGGAAGATATGTGTTGGGTTTATAAACAAACTGGAGGGGGTCATAGGGGCTTGTAGTGATTGACTGCAAGTGACCCAGGATAGACACCCGGAATTGACCGGGAAAACAGAGACTCATTCACGATAGATGTCATCATATTGGTTGGGGAGGCTGTTCTAAATTTCAAAGTCCCAGAAGAAGACCACCAGAGCTTGCAGTTGAGGGTAGATAAGTTCTTCGGAACTTGGTAGGTTTGGACATCTGACAGCTCTGGATGCCCAGCTGACGATCAAATCACGTGTGTTGCTGTTAGTTGCATCTAACCCACCTGCAAAAGGTCGAATTGTAGTGCTGATTCTTCAGTGGACTGGCTCTGAAACAGCCATTCATCCAAATGAGGTCATTGTGACGAAAATACACTTCCTGGGTACACGTATCAAGTCAAGTCAGTAGTAGCTTTATGCACCCGGATGGGTGTATTTTCAGCAATTACACCATATTTGTATTCAAATTTACAAAATCGTACATAGTGAACACAATGAAAGCAGTAGATATTGTGTTTCTTAATAAAGCAAGCAATTGAGCAATTCTGTGAAAATTGTGTCCTTGTCTATAAGTAGACGTGCTAGATATGACACAACAGAATTGCGATAAGCACAGGTACGTGCAAATAAAAGTTTAAATCTGGAGCGTGTGGATGATGTAGATACAGCTTTTGAA